GGCCCAGCTTACATCCTATTAATGCTGCACCCTGGGCAAATTAAGCCTGACCTAGTGGAGAGCAGAGCCCGGTGGTGCTGGTGACACTCTGCCTTTTGTTCCGTGTCCTGAGGGAAGTGGGGCTGGAGTTTTATCCTTTGGTTTGGGTTTTGCCTTTCCTGGGAAGGAAAAAAAAAAAAAAAAAAAAGGCATTGACTCCCTGTTAGATGCAGGAATTCCTAGTTTGGATAACCCAGCTCTTTGGGAAGCTGGAGGGTTGGGACTGGGAGTGCAGGAACATTTAAAAAAAAAAAAAAAAGGATCTTTTTTTTTTCCTTCATAAATAGTCCTGGAAGTGGAAACTGTTTTCTCTGTGATTTGGGGCTTCCAAAACTCCATGGTCCGATTGTACAGAACTTTTTTCCTTCTTCGGCACCAAAGTTAAGAACGTCCCTGGGGAAGAAGCAGAGCCTCGTTCCACTGAGGAAGGACGAGAATTAAGGACCAACATGAGCCTGAGGGTCGTGCCTTGGAGCTTAAAATTCCCTTCCCTACCCCGTCCTGGCTTCTCCCATCCCACCTGCGAGCAGGAGCGGATCTTAGGGATGAATCCAGATCTTAGGGATGAATCCAGATCTTAGGGATGAATCCAGGTCGTTTCTGGCCTGGAGCTGCCTTGGCCAAGGACCTTGAAGACCTGGGGACACTTGGGATCTTCTGGGACATGGGAAGGACATTTCTGCACCAGCAGGATGGGGATGATCCCAGAGGCTGGAGAGGCATCAGAAATCTGCACCCACATTTTACCTGCTTCCTTTGGCAGCTTCTGGACTTTACTGTAAATAAGCACAATGAAATTTTCGGGGTTATGTTGAGGATCTGTGGATTTGACTTCCCTGATCCTGGACCAGCAGCTGCTTTTCCAGCTCTCAGCCACCTTTTTAACTAAACATCCCCTTTTTCCCGTGGCTGCAAATATTCCTTCTCTCCTTTCTGGGTTTTCTGGAAAAACAAACACTTCAGACTGAAAGTGCTACTCCTCCTTTCCCGATTTCTTTTTTTTCTTCAATGGTCATTTTAAAAAATGCGGAAGTCCCGCAGAAATATTTTTTTTAAATCCCCGGTTTTCAAGGTGGATTTATCGCCCTTTAAAGAGAGATTTATTGGATAATCGCTTAAAAAAATAATGCTTATTACTCCGGGATCTCAAATGGAAAACCTTCCCACATTAGTAATCTTCTTGTAATTGCAAAGGTAGCAACTTTTCATTAAGTAATTCATCCCCGGGCAGTTTGGTGGTGGTTTTTTGGTTGTTGTTTTGTTTTGTTTTGTTTTTTCTTTTTTTTTTCCTCCCGCATCCTACTTGTGGTGAAAATCGCGATCAAATACTTGAGGTTTTAGCTGACCAGATGAGGCACATCTGATTTATCTCCTGAGGAGATTTCTCATCTCTAGACCCTCATCGCTCCAGAAAGGGGATGGCATCCCCTAAAAAACCCAAAACAAACAACAAAAGAAGGACTTTTTTTTTTACGGACAATCCTAATTAACAAAATTGCTGATCGGGGCCGCTCGCTGCGCTCGCGCCCCGGTGATTTTCTGGGCAGGTTTAGTTAACCTGGGAGCAGCTTTTTCAAGTCGAAAATGGGATCCACAACCCCTTCCCCCCAGTCTGGTGACGTTCGCCCCCTCCAAGGACCCATCCAACTTGAAAAGCCCCTTCCTCCCGCGAAGGATGCGGGGGATGGACGGTGGGGACCAGAGGTGCTCCTAAAAAAATAAAAATAACCCCCAGCCCCGTTCCCTCCTGCTCCTGAGTTGGCTCTCGGCGCTGATTTACAAGCCGTTTCTCCAAAGGGAATAGCGATATACGGTATTTATCAACCAGAAACATACCTTAGGAAACCATGGAGATGCGCAGGGAAAGGGGGAAGCGGGAGGAATTCTGCCCCGGCTCCTTTAAGCAGTTACTTGCTCCTTTCCTGATTGATGCTTGTTTTAATCTATTGCTCGCTGCTCCCAGGAGAGAAAAGAAGGGGTCTCTCTTTTGTGAACGTGGGTAATGAAGCAGAAAACTGGGCAAAAAAAAAAAAAAGGGGGGGGGGGAATATTGAAAAATTTCCCGAAATTCCAGAAGGGGTTCCCTGTTTCTCAGCCGGGCGCGCAGGTAACACCCCGGCCCCCGGCCCTGCATGTGAAATCGCCATTTCACCCCTGCACACTCCTTAATTGTTAGAAAAATGATTTGTGAAATTGCTTTCCAGCAGGAGTGTCCCCCCCCCCTCTCCCCCGGCTGTGATAGTCCCCTGTCACCCCCTTTTTCCTCCCCGGACAAATTTAGGGGGTGAGGCCGCACGGCACCGCATCCCTTAAATAAAAAGAAATTAAACAATAATCCTTAATGGAGCTCTTTGCTCAGCGGCTGCCCGGAGCAGGCAGCAAGTGCTGGAGGAGAACGTGATTTTTTTTTGCCCGAAGTGCCAAATCTTACCCCAATTCCGGGAGAAAGGGGGTGACGAGGGAAAACAAATGCCGTGTTTGATGTGAGAGCTTTTTCTGCCGGCGAGGTAACCCTAGAGCGGCGGGGAAGGCAGGACTCCGGGCTCGGCTCCTCGAGTTTAATCTTCTCCCGGTGCTGGGAGAGCAGAAACATTTAATTTTCAACTTTATTCCCAGGCTCTTTCCCCCCACCCCCCATCCAAGCAAATGAAAGGCAAATAATTGAATTACGGCAGCAGGAATGCGGTGGGGACTGGGCTGCGAGGGGCTGCGGGCTGGTGCCGCTCCGCTCTGCCCGTTATTTTTTTGCCTAAAACTTCGGGAATGGGTGTTTTTTGGGGCGAAGGGAAGGTGAGACACTTTATTTTTGTTTGTTGGAGCCCCAAAGTCGCGGCTGAGCCGGGCTGAGATTTTTGGGAGCAACCTGACACCTTGGAAAGAATTTTAATATCGCATTTTTCCTCCCTGTCCCATGGTTTTTTGGTGGTTTTTTGTTTGGTTTTTGTTTTGTTTTTTTTGAGGGGGAGGTGGGATTTGGGTAAATCTGAGGCGTGAAAACGTGAGCAGAGCAAGTCGTGGCCGCGCAGCGAAGGCGGGTGCGGGTTTAGGCTGAGCTTGGCGGCCGCGGGGGGGGGAGGAAGAAGAGGGTGAGCGATGAAGATGTGGCCGGGCCGGGGAGGGGTCGGGGCAGGGCTTTAATTTCAAAGCAAAAGGCAGGACAGAAGAAGGGGGGGCTGAGGGCGGCGATGCCCTCGGGGGGACGGGGAGGAGGTTTAGGGACCACGTTTGGGGTCCAGCCGAGCCAGAAGTGTCGCCGGCTGCTCCCCCTCCCGCGGATGCTTTTAAGGGAGGGGGAAGAGAAGTTTCCAGCGGTTTGCACGGCAAGTCCTTTTACAGCTGCGAACAAAAGGGTTCGTGAGCCCTGGCGTCACGTCCCGCTGCGAGGAGGATTCTTGCCCCGCTCCTATTTTGGGGGGAAAACATTAGTTATTTGTTCAGCCCGTCCCGGGTCAGCGAGCGAGCGGGCGGGGGAACCGCGGGGAGCTCCGCGCACACCCCCGGCCCCGCAGCCCCCAAAATGGGACCGGCTGAGCCCCTCCCAGCCCGCCTCGTAATTAAAGATGGGATGTTAATGAGGGAGGGGAGCGGAGAGTTACCTGGGGTGGGGAAAGGAGGTACTGGGGTCGTTCGGCTGCTCCCGAACCCGGCCCCAAATAACCCAGGGGGGCTTGGGGGGATGCTGAGAGCCGGGAAGGACGAGCCACTCCCCCAGAAAGGGATGGGAAGGGGAGGAAAAGTGGATCCAAGCCACTCCTGGGGGAGGGGGATGCAAGGCAGTGAGTGCCGGGCTCGGGTGGGCACCTGAGGGGGGTAAATTTTTTAATTTATCTATTTATCAATTTTTTATCTTATCTATGTATAGTATTTAATTTTATTTGGGGTTTGTTTTTTCTTTATTACAAATTTTTATTTTAAATTAAATTTTGTCTTTATTTTTCTTTATTTTGATTTTATTATTTATTATAATTGATTTTGGGTTTAATTTCTAAACTTAATTTTTTTTTTTTTAAATCCACCCTGCAATTCCCCAGCCCGGGGCATCCGCAGGGATGCTCAGCTTAGCAAAAAAAAAAGAAAAAAAAACCACAAAAACCTTTCCCAAACTTTTCCTCGTCTTTTCTCACCCCAATATCTTTTCCAACCGGCGGAGGGGGACCCCAGCTTTCCATCAGAAGGAAGCCAAGCCTAGTAATGAATAATAATATCCTAAAAAAAACCCCCAAGGAGCGAGCCCAGGGCTCTGCCCGCCGCAGCTCTTATTGGTCCCTCGGCCCCGGCGCGGAACCCCCTTCCCGGCCGCGGATAAAAGAAAGGAGCCGGAGCCTATCAGAGCCCGCTCGTCCTTCCCACCGCCCCAACTTCCCCGCGTTACCAACTTCCAGCCCCCCTCCCCATCCAACACCCCTTCTCCTCCTCCCACTCCCCCCCAGCTCCAGCATCCCTCGAACGGCACAGCCACTTCAAGAAAAAAAAAAAAAAAAAAAGGAAAAAAGCGCAATAACAAAATCCGGGGGGACTCGCCCCCCCAGCCCTAAGCCCAGCCCAGCACCGAGGCAACTTTGGATGTGTCTGCTCTTCCCGGCACTCCGGGTTACATTCCTCCGGAGCGCCCGCTCAGGCCGGTTGTGACATAGCCCTAAAACTTTAAGAGGAATTTCTGGTGGGTGAATCCCCCCTTTTTCCCACCCCTCTTTTATTATTATCATCATCATCATCGTCATCTATTGATTTTTTTTGTTATTATTTTTTATTGTTCTGATTTTTTATTTTTTTTTCCCCCCATCGGAGCAAAGATTTCTCCCTTGTTTTGCAGCCGCGGGCTGGAAGATTGAAGCGCTTCGGCTGCGAGGAGAGACAGCCCCGCAGCCCCTCCCAGGCTCTCTCGGCTCTCCCCGGGGCCAAGGGGTGCCCCCCACCCCGGTTCGGACCGGACCCTCTCGGCCGCCCCGACCCCCCCCACCATGGCAGCGCTGCCCGGGACGGTGCCGCGGATGATGCGCCCGGCTCCGGGGCAAAACTACCCTCGCACCGGCTTCCCTTTGGAAGGTAGGTCTGGGAATACTCCTCTCCTTGGAATAACCGGGGGGGGGGCCGGGCTCGGATGCTTCGGGAGGGGGGACGCAGCTGAACTTCGCACCGAGTGGGGGGTTCCCGACCTGAGCATCCAACTTCTCCCCGCTCCCGCTGGGGCTGCTGTGTCCCCGCGAATTACCGGGCTTCGCCTTGCGTTTCCCTGTATTTAAAGTGTTCCCGGGCATCCCGCAGAATTTCTGGGACAGCTTCGCGTGCTTTGGGCTTATTTAGCGGGTTGAGGTTTTTTTTAAGCCCGCGAATGTCCCGACAATTTAGGCTCCACGTAAAGATGGGGGGAAACGACCAAATCAATCCTTTTCAACTTTTCCGGGGGAAAATAAGAATAGAAACCTTTAGCCGGGAGGATCCTGCGGCAGCGGGAAGCCGAGATGTCCTTGGCCGGGGCTGGCGAGGGGAAAGGGGGGGGACTTTGTAGCTGTCACCTCGCTAAGTGTCATCCCCACCTCGCAGCGCATCTTTCCCCATCCTCTGCCTTCCCTTTGTGAGCCGGGAGTTATTATTTCCAGGCACACACATTCCAAAAAAAAAAGAAAAAAAAAAAAAAAGGCGAATTTCGAGCGAGACCCTTCTCCCCGCATTTATTAAACAGGAAAATTTCATCCTGACCGTGATCAAGTGGCGAAACTCAAACCTGTGGAAAACCACGCAGGCTGCAAAACATACAAGCTGGGGGGATTTGGTGAAGTGCTTTTCTGTAGCAAATGAAGTAAAACAGACGGCAAGGGAAAGGATCAAAGGATTACAACAATATTTGCACAACATGACTGGGAATAATGAAAAGAGAGAGCGGCCGGCGGTTTTAGTACCTCTTGAATGTAAAATTGGCCACTCGAGTGTTATCTGTCGATAATGATATATCCAGGGAGTGCTGGCCAAGTGACTTGGAATTAGTGGTGCATGATTCTTGTTAAATCGCGAGGCAATTTCTGGAATCGACTTTTCTTTGTATAAAGAGAAAAATCACCCCCCTCGCCTTCCCTGTCCCTCGCCCCCTCCAGCCTTGTGCAAATTACCCAGCTGAGTTCTTCTTCCCCTCCTTTTCTCCCCCCACCTTTTTTTTTTTTTTTTTTTTTTTTTTAATTTCCAGCCTGTGAAATCGTATTAATCTACAAGATCTACATTGCGAGATATTAAATAAATTGGGGAGGGGGATTAAGGAGCCGCCGGTCCCCCCGCTCCGGGCGGGGATGCGCCGGGCGAGGTGTCGGGGAAGCGGCGCGGCCGCGGGGAATCCGCGTTCCTTCCGCGCCTCCCCGAACCGCGGAATAAACCCCCACCGAAACCACAAAAAGAAAAACAGCAACAACAAAGAAGCCCAATAACAACAACAACAAAAAAGCCCCTCGAGGCTGTTTAAGAGATTATTTCCAAAAGTTTGTTTGAAAGCTGAGAGCTCCGTAAATTGAAGCAAGGAGCAGAGTGCGCTTTTTGGGGGGGCGAAATGGGAAGTTTTTTTTGGGGGGAGGGGTGGGTGTTGTTGTGCGCTCTTAAATCTTTTCTTGTTTAAAACGTGAGGTATTGTTTAAAACAAAGGTGTGAATCCCTAAATATATATAAATGTAGTGAATAGAAACACAGGGGCTGTCGCGGGTGATGGGTGTGTGGGTCGTGGGTTATTTTTATTTTCCCACTATCGCTGGGAAAAGCCTCCCGCGTGATGCCGGGATAAAACCGAGGCCAGGGCACGGACGAGAGGCTTCTCCCTCCTTTAAACGATTCAAATCCCGGGAGAGAAGCTGCAGGCGCGGGGAGGGACGCGCCCGCTTTCGCTGCATTTTCCCCTCTTTTAACTTTTTCCCCCTCTTTGTTGGGTGGGGTTTTTTTCCTCCTTCCTCTCCAGTTTCCACCCCGCTGGGCCAGGGAAGGGTGAACCAGCTCGGAGGGGTTTTTATCAACGGTCGCCCGCTCCCCAACCATATCCGGCACAAAATCGTGGAGATGGCTCACCACGGGATCCGGCCCTGCGTCATCTCCCGCCAGCTGCGGGTCTCCCACGGCTGCGTCTCCAAAATCCTCTGTAGGTACCAGGAGACGGGCTCCATCCGGCCTGGAGCCATCGGAGGCAGCAAGCCCAGGGTGAGTGTAATGTGGGCACCGAGCTAAACGTCTCCTCCTTGCGTTAAAGAAATTCACCTTTCGTGTTCGGGACTCCAAGTTTTCCGAGTGGGTTTGTTTTTTTTTCAGGGGAAGGGAGAAGGAGGGGAAAGGGCTTTAGTAAAGCTTCACTCTTCGGCCTCCGATGGGTAGAAACTGGTGCAAGTTGAAGGCTATGAATAAATTAAAGTGATTTTTTTTACCCCGTGTGCAACAAGTGGTGCACGTTCAAGCGTTTGCTGCGGCCCCGATGTGAGGGGAGGAGAAGGGTCGGGATGTTTTGGGGAATAATACATTACCGTGTCTACATAAACACCCCAAAAAGCATCCCCTGCACCTCCTCCCTGCCTCCTTCTCCTACTCAAGATAAACTCGCCCTGGCTGATTTCCTGGGCCCCCAGGGATTCTACTTTTAGGGTGGCCAATATTTGGGAGAGCGGCACCTTTTCTCAGCTTTATTTTCCTCCTTTCCCCCCTCCAAGCCCCCATTTTCAGCCCCAAAACCAGCAGCCCGGGCAAGGAGGATTGAACTGAGCTGCTCAGCTCTGCTTTTCAATTAAAAGCGCTTTTTCTCTCCCCTCCCCTCCCTCTGCACTCGCGGACACGCACCGGTGTCCCTTGATCACAAAAGCAGGTCGCGACTCCCGACGTGGAGAAGAAAATCGAGGAATACAAACGGGAAAACCCCGGGATGTTTAGCTGGGAGATCCGGGACAGGCTCCTGAAGGACGGGCACTGCGACCGCAGCACTGTGCCCTCAGGTGAGAAGGCAGCTTGGCAAGAAGGACACCCCAACACCCGCAGGAACGCGGAGGGAAATCATTATCACCACCAAAAATATTTTCCAGGGGCTCTGACACCCTCTCGGCCTCTGCTTTGATAAGGGAGGGGAAAAAATCACCCCAAGCAAAGCCACAGCAGCAAATAAACCCCAGGCCAGGGGGGGTGGTGCTCTTGTCTCTCTGTGGTCTGCTGCAAACCCAAACACAAACAAACCAGTTTTCCCAACTTATTCCAGCTCCCCTGGCAGCAGGGCCGTGCTGGTGCAGCACTTGGGGAGGCGGCCCCCAAACCCAGGGCTAATGGGGACCCCACTTATCCTGCTGGACTTGGCTCAGTGGGGGCTGCAGAGCAACATTTCCATCAGCCAGAGCCCCCAGTTGTCCGTGGAAAGAGACCCTGTACCCCAATCTTTGACCTGCAGGGGTGTGTTCGGGCTGTGTGAGTTCTTTGGGTCCCAGCTGTGAGTTGCCCCCTGGTTTGGGGGCTGAGCCTTCTCTGCAGGGCACGTTTACCCCAAAGCAGGCCAGGGCCAGCTCTGAATCCAGGCTCTGGGTTCCCATTTGGAGCTGGGTGAGAGCCGGGTACTGGGGGGGTCTTTTCCTCAGTTCCAGAGCAGGTGACAATCCCTGTGGTGCCACCCTGGGATGCAGCACTGGCTGTGCTGGGGGCCCTGGGGAGGGTGACGAGCAGGTCCTGCTTTGGGTGCCCACCTGAGCAGCTCAGTGACCTCAGGGGGTTTTGGGGGGCACGGAGTGTTCGCCCTCGGGGGTGAGCGGGGCCTCCTGCCCACATCCCACAGCCCCGGCTGGGCTTTCCCAGCCGGCTCCCACCTGGCCTGCCCAGGCAGCTTATACTTGCCCTCTTGTCTTTGACTGTCTGAGGTTTAGTGAGTTCGATTAGCCGGGTGCTACGCATCAAATTCGGGAAGAAAGAGGAAGAGGAGGACTGTGACAAGAAGGAGGAGGACGGGGAGAAGAAGGCCAAGCACAGCATCGACGGAATCCTGGGCGACAAAGGTAGAGGCGGCCGCGCTGCCCCGGGGGGGACGGAGGGGCCGTTCGGGAGAGGGGGAACGAGAGGAAGACGGGATGGCTCCAGAGCCTCTGGTGTTTGTTCTTTCCAAAAACGACCGCTGGGCAGGCAGAGGGAGCGCTGCAGGGCCCTGCCAGGGGAAGGTGGTACCCACCCCTCGGGCTGCGGGGGCTTTCCCGGGAGAGGAGTTGCTGGTGTTCTGCTCTGGATCAATCCTACAGGAAGAGGGAAAGGAGACGGCTGGTGGTGGTGGGGGAGGCATCTCTGATTCCTAAATGAATTTGTTAAACAGATTTCTCTCCTGCTCTCTAAGTGGTCCCCTGAAACTCTGGCTGACAGTTGACCGATTTGGCCAATCAATATCAATTAGAGCAGCCGCGATCGGCGCAGCCACAGAGCCACCGGGGCCGGGGGGGGAGGATGGACTCGGGTGGGAGCAAACAGGGGGTCTGCACCCCTAAAGGAGATCAGGCAAAATAAATCTGGCAGCTCTGATGGAAGGCTTAAGGCCAGGCTGGTGCTGGGGCCCTGTTATCACCTCCCATGATCGGTGTTTTCTTCTCTCGTGGGAGGAAAAAATTCAACTTTTTAAAGTTTCCGTACTCTAAATGTGGGGTTGGGGGTGAGGAACAGCCATAGCCGGCCACTGCGGGAGCTGGAATTTGATTTTTGGCAAACTCGGTGGGGGTGATGATTCCCCTTCCAAAAAAAAACGGGGGGAAAGTGACACTTTTCGGGACAATAAATGAGATTTATCAATGAAGGCGAGGAAGTTGAAGTATGGGGAGGGAGGAGCCGCTGTATCGGTGTGGGCAGAAAATGATTTCCTTGTGTCACGGAGCTCGGCGCTTTTTGGGGGGGAAAGCAGCAATTTTGGAAGTCTTGGGGATGTGCTTCGGGAAATTGGGAATTGTTATTTTTCTCCCAAACTGATGCAAAACGACGATGGGCTGAGCCTGCTGGGGTTCGGTCGGTTGGAGTTTTGGGGGATTCGGGACACTGTCGGGCCAAGAGGAAGCGGAGTGAGAGGGATTTTCCCCATGGAGCCTTTCCCCAATCCCGGTGTGGGAAGCGGGAGGGAATCACTCCCAAAGTTTCTCACTGGCTCCAAAGTTTTCCCCGTTTTGGGACAATGCGAGTGAGTGGGGCAATATTGACGTGGGGGGAATTTGGGGCAGAAAAAGCTTCTCCGTGTCACCATCAAACGTTCCTGGGAGTTTTAAATGAAGGTGCACAAAAGGGTTTTATTTTTTTCTTTTTAAGGATCTGATCCTTTTTTTTTTTTCCCAACCTTGAAGATGAACTTCACTTACAAAGACCTTCGAGTCTATTGAAGCTTTATAAGTAAAAGATTCCTGACCACAAAAGCAAACAGTAGAAGAAAAAAAAAAAAAAAAAAGAAAGAAAGAAAAAGGGAAAAAAAAAAAAGAAAGGGGGGAAAGGGGGGAAAACCCGAGGCTGCCTTAAAAATGGAGTAAAGGGATGGGGGAGGGAGGGCTTGTCTATTCTCATTCAAAATTCGGCAAGGAGGAGAAAAAGTTCGGACAAAGGGCCAAGGAAGGGAAGAAAGGGAGATAAATTATTCAAAACTCCCTGCTGTTAGATAGTTTTGTAATATTATAGGACCGTCTGTTGGAAAAAGGGAGAACCGTTGGACGTTGCAAAATGTTGCTTGTGATTTGGAAAGAGGCGATGCTCATTTGCAAATCGGGGCCATTGTGTCCGCGGAAAGCTCCCCCCTATCACTTTGGGGTGTTTTTAATTTTATTAAGGGAGGTAAAGAAGATTTTAGGGTTTAAAATTTATTTTAACCGCGCCTCGCCGCTTGAAAAAAAAAAAAACCTGTATTGTTTTTAAACGCGGGTTGATTTATTTTTCCCTTGTCAGCACGTTTTGCCCGTCACCACCCCCAAAATAATAATAATTAAAAAAAAAATTAAAAAGAATGAGTGAAAGAGCTGGAGGCTCTTTATTCGTGATTAACACGCAGAAGTGCGTGTCAAAAAGCAAAACAAAACGCTCTCTTCTTCCTTCATGGGTAATATCGCGGACAAATAAAACACGAGCCCCCATTTCTTTATGAAAGAAGGCTAATTTGGGCAAATTCCCTCTGCCGGAGCCCGCGGAGCGCCGCGGTACCTCCAAGCGCGCAGGCTCCGCTCGCATCCCTGGAGAGAAATTTCGAGTTATCAGGAATTTAAAATTTGGTTTCCTCCCCCGCAATCGCGCCCTGACTTTGTAGATTGCAGAGAAATCACCCAAAAGGGCTCTAATTTGGGGTTTTTTGGGGGTGGGGGGGAGAGTCAACCGCGGGCGCGGGTTGGACCCGGCGCATCCGAGCGTTGCGCGATCGTGTCCGGCTGGAAAACAACCCTTAAAAAATAAAAACTGTCCGCCGTCAATGTGTGTTTTAACGCCTGGGAAAGCTTTAATGGCCCCAATTAAGATAATTGATGATTCAACTTGCAAAACACTCCAAGGCGGTGGGTTGCACGCTGGATATTTTTTTCGCTCTAAAATGGTAATATTTTTTATATAATAAAATTAAAATCTCTTCAGAGTCGTTTCCCCCTTCACCTTAATTTTTTTTTTCCGCGAGGTTCGCAATAAAAATAAAAATATACCGCGCTTCTGCCACTTGTTCTCAGCTTCGCGTGGGGTGCGTGTAAAGGTTTTTATTATTATTATTATTAATTTCTGATTTTTAACGCGGTTTTCTGATTCTCGCGGATGGCGAGAGAGGGAGGTGGGGGGAAACTTTGTTTTGGCCTTTTTCCTCTTGACAAACGTTTCATTGCGGGTTCTCCTCGCAGGGAGCCGGAGGAAGACAGCCCTAAATGCTCTCTCTTTTTAAGTGTTAAAGAAAGCTTCCACCCTGCGCCTGTTTCTTTCTATCGTCTGCTTGGCATTTAATAATGTTAAGACTTATTAGAGCTGGTAATGAAAACTGTGGCTGTTGAATAGGGAGCTGTGTTGGAGAAGGGTGTAATAGCTCCAAGGCATGCTAAGAAATGTATTTATCCCCAATCAGTACTCACTCTCTGAGTTCCCAGCACAAACGTTAAGTTGAAGGGTTTTAAGGCAGATTAAATTGAGCCTTTATTTCTTTGCACTTTCATCTTTAAACGGCTCACTCCAGCTAGCCCTGGGCATATATTCATGAGGCTTCACTTTATTTTTTTTTTTATATATATATTTTTTTATATCCTTGTTAAGACCGAGTTGTTATTATTATTATTTGGGCTTGTTGTTATTTATTATGGCTGGTGGGGTTTATTAGGGAGGGTCACGCGTGGGGGGCTGCGCTGTTCTCTCCCGCGGTGGGGACGGGGGGGAGTCATTTGGACACCCCCAAATTTCAGGGGGTGCTGCCCGGGGGTTAATTGGGAGGAGCAGGGGAAGGGCCTCATCCTGGTGGGGTATTAATTGCAACCAGACGCGGGGGAGGAGGGTCGTGGGGTTATGGGGAAGGCGATGGGTCTGTGCTGGAGGAGAGGGAAGTTCGGCAGGTTCCCCCACCCTCCGAGCGTGTCACCCCACGGTCACGGGTGGGGACAGCCGGCCCTGCCCCCTGGACTGCTCCGGGACGCAGGGCAGGATGCAAAGGATGCTCAGGGCTTGGGTGCTGGGTCCCATCTGGGGTGAAAACCGGATTTTTAATTAATTCCCCCTCCGTTTTGTATCTCCCAACTCCGCATTATTGCACGAAGTTTCTTCCACCGATCCATTTTTTTGCTTCGATGCCCCCTGGAAATATCGCGTGGGATGGGGAAAGCCGAGCGGGAAAGCCGGGAGAGCAGCGGGATGGATGTTTATTGGCGGTGGGAGAGGCGGACAGGTGTGAACAGCACAGGAGGGGGGACATATGGGCACGTGGAGGTGATAACAATTCAATTTGGGAGCCCTCGGTGCCCCTTATGTCGAGTTTTGGGGGGCTGGACGGAGCAGGAAGAGGTTGGGATGGTCCTGCCCAGTTTAATTAGGATCGGGGAGGGAAAGGAGAAAGAAGAGGGGACCCCCCCAGCTGGAAAGGGGCTTTGTTTCCCAAGCTGGGAGCGGGGGGGAGAGGGGATGCGGAGTCAATTTATCAGCAAACAATCTGCATTGATTTAAAACCAACAAGCGCTTTCTCTGTAAATGTATGTTTAGAAGCGGGGCGGGGGGGAACAGACACTTCATCAAATCAAGGGATTACGAAAGGTTGGCAATCTAATCAAACAGAGACCAGGCGGGATTTGTGAGTGTTGCGAGTGGGATCAGCTCTAATAATGGGGGGCAGGAAAGAGATAGGGTAGTGTCAAGCAATTCATTGGCTTTAGGCTGAGTTATTCTGTGCATATTTCAGGGAGAGAGAAGAGGGAAAAGGAGAGGGAATAAAAAAAAAGCAGGGAGAGGGAGAAGGGAAGGGGGGGCTGGATGTGAGCACACACGGAGCTTACATGTCACAAAAAAAGCTGAGACAAATGAGGTACAACAATAAACACAGATAACAATTACAAAGGCAAACAGTGGCTTTTGGGAACAAGTAGCTGCAGAACCTGGTCTACATAAACAAAGTAGGCAAATGTTTGCAAGATAAACTCCTTCCTAAATCAAGTGTGACGGGAAGGAGAGAAGAGAGGAGGAGAGATAAGGTTGGAAAGGGGAATAAACGAGTATAATCTAATACAAGACATTTTAAAAAACAAACTTAAGACAAGGATGCGGGGAGAGAGGTTCAATTATACAGCAGGAAGTGAAATAATATAAGGGAGATGTTTGTGATCCAGGGGTTGTTTGGGTTTTTTCTTTTTCTACATCATCCCCCCTCCCTTCTTTGGGGGAGAAGAATAGGTTCAATTCTAGACCGGGGGAAAATAGTAAGGCAAATATTGGTATCAAAAGCGCTGGCTGGCAGGTGGGGTGCCCGGGGTTCAGCTTGAACGGCAAAGGAAATACATTCGAGACGTTTTAATCTCTAATTTGAAGGTGGATGGTAGATTAC